GGAGATGAAGACATAGGATTTCTGGGACCGGAGGACTCTCAGCAAAATCCTTCAGCCATCATTTGAGTACTGAGACTGGGCCTGGCCTTTTTGCAGAAGAGTGAAGAGGCCTAGAGAAGAGGAAGCCAGGTAGAAGAGGTAGAAAAGAAAACAGCAGGAGGCGATCATTAAGGGTATAGACAAAGACTTGTTTTGTTGTTTGTTTGTTTTTCACCACACCCAACAGTACTCAAGACTTATTCTTGGTTCTGTGCTCTGGGATCACTCCTGGCAGGCTTGGGTGACCAAATGGGGTTTTAGGGATCCAACCCAGGTCAGCTCTCCATGAGGGAAATGCCCTACTCATTGTACTATTGCTCCAGCTCCAGGACTTGGATTTTTTTTTCCTTAGAGAAATGATAGCCATGGAGAGGTTTAGAATGAAGGTTCTGCTCTCCCCAATTTAAAAGGGACCATGTGCAATGTCAGTGGAAGGAAGGAAAGGCAGACGCAGACACAGATGGATTAGGGGACAGGCTCAACAATCCAGCTGTATTTGTCAGGGAAATGAGTAGCAGTTTATAGGCTGTTTATGGTCTGTAACTTACCCTTTACAAGCTGGGATCTAACTACTACAGCCAAAAATTGCCTGAGCACTTCATTGTTTACCCAGAATCAGGCTGGCACAAAAAAGCAGGTGGGAAACGGTTCCAAGCACCAGTGCATAAAACAGCAAGTTAGCCTGTATCTTGGCACAGAATTCTCATAAAGAATCCTTGTGTTTCCGTAGCTGGGGGCTTGGGGTTCCTTCCTATATCTAACAGCCCTAAAGAGCCAGACAAGTTGCATTTCCCTTTTTGCTTTCTTAGTAGAGCAGCAATGGATCCATCAAGTTTATTTAGGAGACTTGCCCGCCCTAACAATTAATTAAACATTTATAGGAAATTAAACAGTCCTCTCATCTACCAGATTAGATCTTGGAGCGGAATGAGGATATTAGTGGGGAAAAAAACCCTGGTGCAATCTGAAATAAACACTGTCATTTTTTAAGTAGTATTATTCCACTGCTAATTAGTTAGTTTAAATGTACCGCAGTTAATATGACTGACCTAAGAGATTAACTGTAAAAGTGCAGCAAGTGGTAATGTACATTTTAAAAATACTAACTTTGCAACTTTCTGTGTATTTAAAATTATTCCAAAGTGTAAAAAAATTTTAAGGGATAATCCTTAAAGGGATATGAAAAACAGTGACTACAGTGAAAGAAATTTTGTTTTCACTGATACAATGGTTCCAGATACATTTTGCAAAAATGTAGTAATTTCTATGCACTATTAAGAAGTAGGGGCTGGAGTGATAGCACAGTCAGTAGGGCTTTGGCCTTGCACATGGCCGACCTGGGTTCAATTCCTGCAGCCCTCTCGGAGAACCGGGAAAGCTACTGAGAGTATCCTGTCTGCACAGCAGAGCCTGGCAAGCTCCCCACGGCGTATTTGATATGCCAAAACAGTAACAACAGGTCTCACAATGGAGACGTTACTGGTGCCCTCTCAAGCAAATCAATGAACAACAAGAGGACAGTGATACAGTGCTATTAAGAAGTAGATGGTTGGGGGGGGGGGTGAAACTGGCCTATCCTTCCTGCCCTACTCATACCACAAGTCGCCCCCCACAAGGGGATCTCTGGCAATGGCCATGGACCCAGAGGCACAGGGACCCAATTCAGAACCTAGCGGCTTATGGCAGAAATGTGACTCAACTATGCATTAAGCTATGGTGCCATGCCCCACCAGATGGGAAAAGGTGTTTGTCCCTTCAGCCTTTCTCCACCCCCCCCAAGCCCCTGCCTATGGCACTGTGACCTCAGCCTCAGAGCCTATTGGACAGTCAGGTATGAGCCAGTGGTGACGGGGCAACTGCGGCCACATGGGATGGGGGGGGGGGGGAGTGTAGAACCGGCCTGTCCTTCCTGCTCTGCCAAGACCATGAGTGGCTCAGGTTTGAACTGGTAAACAAGTGGCTCTCTGGCATGACCATGGCTCCAGAGGCACATGAACCCAATTCGGAACCCAGTGACTTCTGACAGAAATCCCTCCAGACTTAATTAGTAAAATATCAGAAATCCAAAGTTGCAATGCTGTGAATTGCTCATCATAACCAGCAATAGAAAACAGATTATCTAACGATGCCTTTTCAGCAGGTCTGATTGTTGGGGGAAAATTCCAAATAATAATGGTGCATCTTTTGTCAAAATAATGAATGTAATCAAAGAAGAGAGAGAGTTAAGTGGAAATCATCTGCCTCACAGGCAGGGGGCGGGGTGGGATGGGGGTATATTGGGGTTCTTGGTGGTGGAAAATGTGCACTGGTGAAGGGGTGGGTGTTTGAACATTGTATGACTGAGACTTAAACCTGAAAGCTTTGTAACTGTTCTCACAGTGATTCAATAAATAAATAATTAAAAAAGTAGATGGTTATTACCTGATAGTTCGTCTTTTTCATTGTTTCAGTCTAGATTAAGCTGCATTTCCAATATTTCACTTGCCTCCTGAATTATAAGTATTGATGTACTTTGACTCCCAGGAATCTATTTTTCTTGGGAAATAAATATTTTTAAAAATGTTTTACCAGTTCAAACCTGAGTCATTTGCTGATTTCCTTTTTTTCTACCTTACTCCGATCTCCTGTCTTTACTGGACTAATGCAATTGATTTGCCTTTTTCTCTAAACCTGAGAATGACCTGTATTTTCTGTGCTAAAGGAAGCTTTGGGGAAAGAAATTTTCATTTCTGTTTATAAAAAATTCACAAATATCCTCTTACTATCTGATTAGGTCAGAAATGATGAATACAAATATCTCCAGGGGCTACCAAGTTAGGTGAACATATAAATAATCTACAAACCCCCTCTGGCATATACTCCTGTCCTTGAGAAAGCTCTTGATTTGATTTTTCTTGGGAAGCGATGCTTTTATTCTAGACCCACAACAGAAGCTTTGATCCTGTTTCCAGGTAAGGAAGTTTTATATAGACAGGCTGTGGTTTAGTAGAGGAAAATGTCACCAAGAGGCAATGTGAAAGAGTAACCAGGCAGGAAGATTTTTTTTAAAAAAATGTATCTGCAGAAAACAGAGCAAGATTGTTGAGAACTAACTGCAATTGCAAGTTGCACAATGACACTACCAAGTCTTCAAGAGGGTTTCATCATCATGAAGGCAGGCTTGAACTGAAGCTGTGATAGAGAGAGGAGAGACACAGCCTTGACCAAACAAACCTCAGGAAGGAACTCACCTGTTTAGGAGTAACAAATGTCTATGTTTCACAACTCCTTACACTAAGAAAAATCTTCAGGGATTTGACTTAAAATTTTTACTGCTGTAGGGCTGGAGAGATAATACAGTGGTTCAGGTGCTTGCCTTGCTCTTGGCAGATCCTCAACAATGGAGCCCCACATGTGTTCCCCTTGACTACCATCAGAAGTGATCCTTGAGCACAGAGCCAGGAATAAGCCCTGAGCACTGGACTCAGAGTATGACACCCCCTCTTGCCCCAAATAAGTAAGTAAATAATTAATCCCATAAGAGGTAGTCAAAGCAAATATAAGTAGCTAAATATTACTAATATCTCAGGGAGAGTTTCATGAGATATTAAAGAGGCATAGGATTAGATCAAAGTACAAGCTCACTTAAGCAGCAGGCAGTAGTACCATGTGCAGACACAGAAAGACATAAGGAAACAGAGACAGCCCTTAACTCTCTCCTTCATCCTGAGGAACGCATGCAGGTAGATAACCATGTTGTCCAGGACCCTCTGGGCAAAGGCTTGCCTGTCACTAGCCTGCTTGGGCAGTTCACTCAAGTGTGCAGTCTCCTATGCTGGCTTTCCTTCCAGCAGCTATTCTCAGAGCTCTGCCAACCCATAGACATAAACCTGGCAAAAGAACCTTATCCTCTACCCACCCCACCACAAAACCGAGGACAAGGGCGATGATGGAAAGGTTCCTCCACAATGTGCCGTAGTTGCTTCAGGCCCTGGACAGTCTGGGAACTTGGATAGAGCAGTCCCGCCTGAACCCCATGCCAACCTCCCAGCCTCTGCTGAGAGCAGATTAAGTAGCTCATAGAAATCCACCCTGTCCAATTTCAATTTTAGTCCTTGCTTTACCTTAGTCATTTCTATGGGGAAAAGTCTTTAGTAACAAGAACGAATGGAATTGAACCCTGCACAATGGTCCTTTTTAATGCCCAAAGAGAAATAAAAAAATTGGGAAGTGGGACTAATACCAATTTTTTTCTAGGTATTATGGAGATGCTTTCCCCTAGGAAAAGCAGGGCACCCCGCCCCCGCCCCCTCTGCCCCCAACTGGCTAAGGAGGTAGCCACATCTCTCTGTCACCTGGTCCCTGCAGAAATCACTAGCAGCAAGACTCTGCCTGAGATCATGGGCATTAGGTGCCCCTTGGTGACACAGCTTGGCAGCTATATTTTCGTTTTTAGAAAGCTCTCATGATAGTTTCATTGATCTCAAATAAAAATATTTTCCAGCTGTATTAAAAAAATCTATTGATGGTGGTGGTGGGTGGTGGTGGTGAACAGTTAAGGGGGCAGGAAGTGGGTTGCTATCAAGGCTGAGGACCAGATCTCCATCCCCACTAGTGTCTTTTTCTTTTTGCTTTTGGGCCACACCCGGTGGTGCTCAGGTCTTATTCCTGGCTCTGTGCTCAAAGATCACTCTTAGCAGTGCTCAGCGGGACCAGATGGGGTGCGTAGGAAGGCGCCCAGGTCGGCTGCACGCAAGGCAAGCGCTTTTCCTGCTGTACTATTGCTCCGTCTGCTAGCAGTATCTAAAGAGGTCGAACCCGCATTTATCCGGGGTGATGGAAATGAACCTTAAAGGCTGCAGGGTCAAGGACCAGGAAGCAAGTCCCTCTGCCATGCATCATGTCTCTTCACCCTGAAGCATCTCTCTCTGTCCCGAGTATCTTTCTTGTAAGCCCCTCAGCACATTCCCCAGGGAGCTCACCTCTCCCCAGGCAGCGGGCGGGGGCTCCACAGGTGGGTAGTACTTAGGCACATCCCAGGCCACGGCAGCCATGAACCATTTGAAGTCCTTGCACTTGAGCTGCTTCCTCAGTTCCTTCTGTGCCGAGATGTCACCCGTGGAAAGGTGCCGGTACTCGGGGCGCCGCTGGTAAATGTACTCAGCAAATTCGTCCATCCAGGTCTCAGCCACCCGCTTCAGGTTCTGTGCAGCAGAAAAGAACGTTACTTATTGGCCCAGGCACTCGAAGCATTGAATTGAACTGCAAATAGCCAAACAACAACAACAAAATGTGCAAAACATCAGATAATCCGTTTCACTAAGGCGACTTGTTCACATTAAGAGTTTTTATAAACTGTGGCATGTGTGATATGATCAGCCAGACTGGACATCTGTCTCTGCTTCTTGCATTGGCTCCCGATGCCACTTAGATACCACTTATCCAAGCCAGTAGAAGTGTAGCTAATAGCCATCTCAGTTTCATCATCCTTCCCGTCATTGCATGACACTGTTTTCTTTCTTTCTTTCTTTCTTTCTTTCTTTCTTTCTTTCTTTCTTTCTTTCTTTCTCTCTCTCTCTTTCTTTCTTTCTTTCCTTTTTTTAAAAAAGAAAAATGTACATAGTAAAGTTCTTAGTTTTCACTCTGATTAAACTATTTCAGGACACCATTAGGTGTTTTAGAAAGAAGGGCTGGCAGACAAGCTGTTGTTCTTGTCTCCCAATTAGAGAAAGAAGAGGTTACTCAACTCAAGACCCTGAATTCTGATGACATTTGAAATGTACCACATTCATGCCAAACAGTTTAGATTTGCTGCAGAAGGAAGTGGGGCTGAAGGAAGTCCCCCTGGAGCCTTGTTATATCTTTGGCTGTTTCGCTAGGTCGAAGGAGCTGAGTGTTTGCTCTTGGGAAGGAAATGTGCTTCTTGGGTGCTTTTGTATTATCACCTGCACCTCTAGCATTCCCAACAGGTCTCTCCCTTACCAACCTTTACCCCAGGACATTCTATGGACTTGTTGGTTACTTTTGGTCAGTGGTAGGCATAGAAACACCGTTAATACAACAAGATGACACAAGACAGCTATTCAGCTTTTCCTGATTCTGAGTGTGCTCTTTTCTAAGATTCCTGGCATAGTGTGGAAGATTGGTTTGCAAGGGAAGATGAGCTCTCAACGAGCTGCCTAACAGCCCCTCTGCTTTACTTTGCCTGTGTAACAGTTTCCACGCCTCTGCGCCAGTCCATCTTGGCAGCGGATCAGAGTCAATGCTGTTTCCTGACATTTTCCACTGGTCCCAGATTCTGAACTGTCTGATTTGTCTGGGAAAATAAAAGGCAACAGACGATATTTTGAGGCTTGGGCTTGTGAGGGTTACCAGGTACAACGTGTATTTCGCATCTATATGAGATTCTTTAGTATCACCCTACTTTAAAATTTTATTTGAACAAATGCTCTGAATGTAATACTTTCTATTTTCATTTGTCTTAGGAGAGATCACTTTGATGATTGGCAAAAAGATTCAAAGGTAAAATGGGAACAATTGGCCAATAGTATTAAAAATTTATAGTCTGATTGAATTTGGGTGGCACTTCCAACCTTTCTCCCCATCACAGTTATTACATAAAGTGAAATATGTAATTTTCACTGACTTTATGCCTCTGATAAACAAAAATGAATAAAGACAGGGGAGTAGCCAAAAGAGAGAGGGAGAGAAATAAATTATCCAGAAATAATGAGAAAATAGCTTTAATAAAGCCATTTAATAAGTGGTGAATTGCCTTCAAAATTCTGATAGCTTGCAAAAAATTAATCTGTTTTGATTTGGATAAATAAGCACAGTTTGATGGTAAATGCCATAGAGTCATGAATAGATTTTTTAAAATTTATTTTTATTAAAAGTCCAGACACTACTCCCACTACCCAGCCGTCGCCACACTCCAGGACGCTTTCCGGACAGGCGCGGCCACTTTGCAGCCGCGCGACACATCATAAGACACTAAATACCCATCTTCCGGAATTGTCATACCGTATTTGATAGGGTTCAAATATGGTAACACCTACAAGGGTGATTAGAGGTTGCCCCAAAAGCCTCTATCCCTCTCGGAAAGACTGGCAAGCTACCGAGAATATTCCGCCCGCACGGAAGAGACTGGCAAGCTATCCGTTGTGTATTCGATATGCCAAAACCAATAACTACAACTGGTCTCATTCACCTGACCCTGAAGGCTTCACCGACATGGCAGCACTGAGAAGGATGAGAAAGGAGAGGCCGACAAAATCTCAAGGCCGGCCTAGGCTGCCACAACGAAGGAAGACAAAAATGATCGTCTGTACTTTCAATGCACGTACGCTAGCATCAGATGCATCCATCGAGGACCGGATGGTACAAGCGCAAATGATCAAGTACGACATCATTGGTCTGACCGAGACAAGAAGGCACGAATCTCACCATGCCGTTTTCGACACTGGAGAAGAATTGTTCCTCGGAACATGCGATAAAAGAGGTGTTGGAGGCGTCGGTGTCCTTGTCAACACAAACTTGGCCAAGAGCATTGATTCATTCGAATGCCTAACAACCCGAATCGGACGTTTACATTTGAATAGATGTGGCTCACTGCCTGCAGTTTCTATCTTCATTGTCTACGCACCAACATCTCATTATGATGAAAGAGAAATCGAGAAGTTCTACATGGAGCTGGAGAAGTTCTATAAAGAAGACCACACCTTTTACAAGATCATTGTGGGTGATTTTAATGCCAAGATAGGACCGAGAAGATCAGCTGAAGAACTTCACATCGGAACCCATGGCCTAGAATGGAATGAACAGGGTGAGAGACTGTCTGAGTTCATCATGTCAACCAAGACCATTCATGGTAACTCACAGTTCCAGAAGGCAGAATCTAAACAATGGACATGGGAGTCTCCCGGTGGACGATTCCACAACGAAATAGACCACATCATATTCAATCGACGGTTTTGCCTGACTGATGTCGCTGTTGTCCCAAAATTTCGAACGGGATCGGACCACCGTCTCCTTCGTGCAAAATTCTACTTCACAGAGCGGGGAGAAAGGGCTGCAAAGTTCAAAAAGAGAACTCCCAGAACGACCACCAACTGGGAACTCTTTGGCACTATTGCGGCAACATGGGAAGATGCCATTGTTGACAACATTGACGAGGAATACGATTGACTGGTTCAGCACCTCCATGAATGTGCGAGGAACGCCAAGAGAGAGATAGCCACAAAAAAATCGCCTATCTTCGAAAACTCTTGAGCTAATTCGCCAGCGTGATTTGGCGCATGCCTCAGGCAACCGCAAGCTAACGTCTGAGCTTACAAAGCAGTTCAGAGATAAGATCAAGGAAGACCTCAAAGGGAGAAGAGCAGAAGTACTGGTAGATGCGGCAGAAGCCGGGAAAAGTATTCGTAACGCCTGCCTGTCCTTTGCCAACTACAAGACCAAGATGACTGCCCTCTGACCTCCTGATGGATCCATTACATCCTCCAGAACGGCAATGGAGAAGATTATCCATGACTTCTACTCAAATCTCTTCGATAGCCATGTCCACTTGCCGACATACCAAATTCCACAGGATGGATATGTCGTTCCCAACGTTCTCCCTTCTGAAATCCGACACACCATTTCGTCGGCAAAGAAACAAACAGCACCTGGCCCAGACAAGGTCAGACCTGAACACCTGAAGAACCTGCCGTCAGTACTCATCAATACACTGGCTCGGCTCTTCACTCGCTACCTGTCTGAATGCAAGGTTCCGTCCCAATGGAAAACCAGCAGGACTGTACTACTGTTCAAGAAAGGAGACATCCATGACATTGACAACTATCGCCCCATCTGCCTATTGTCTGTCATCTACAAGTTGTTCACTCGAGTGATCTTAAATAGGATTGGCAGAACACTAGATGAAGGACAACCATGCGAGCAAGCTGGGTTCCGCAAAAGATTCAGCACCATCAACCATATCCACACGGTAACCAAGCTCATTGAGGTTTCTCGGGAGTTCAAGATGCAGCTCTGTTTAACGTTTATTGATTTAAAGAAGGCCTTTGATTCTGTCGAGACGGAAGCGGTCATTGAAGCCCTAGCCAATCAGGGCATTCAAGCCCAATACATCAGGATCCTCCGTGAGCTGTTTTGCGGATTCACTACCAGGATCTCACCATTCTACAATGAAGTGATCGTTGATGTCAAGAGAGGGGTGCGGCAGGGTGATACCATTTCACCGAAACTCTTCAGTGCCACCCTCGAGAACATCATGCGACGACTAGAATGGGAAGGAATGGGAGTGAAGATAGATGGTTGGCAACTACACCACCTCCGCTTTGCTGATGACATTGTTTTAATAACACCAAACATCAGCCAAGCGGCACAAATGCTGGCCGACTTTGACCGTGAGTGTGGAAACGTAGGACTACAGCTGAATCTTACGAAGACAATGTTTATGAGAAACAGCCTTGTTCCTGACGCCCCATTCGCTCTCAATGGAACGACCATCTCCGAATGCAACAGCTATGTGTACCTAGGTCGAGAGGTCAACATGACAAATGACCTGGCACCCGAGTTGCGCAGGAGGAAGAGAGCGGCTTGGAACGCCTTCAAGAACGTCTAAGAGGACGAAGAACCTCCGGCTCTGGGCACATCTCTTCGATTCCACTGTTCTTCCTGCATTAACATATGCCTCAGAGACCTGGGCCCTACGCAAACAAGATGAGAACGCTATTCAGGTCTCCCAAAGAAGAATAGAAAGAGCTATGCTTGGAATATCATGTTTCACTCAAATGAGAGAAAGAATCCAGAGTTCTGACATCTGTCGATGATCAAGAATCAGGGACGCTGTCTCATTTGCCAAGGTGTCGAAAATCAGATGGGCTGGTCACGTAATGAGATTTAAAGACGACCGCTGGACTAGAGCTGTTATAGACTGGATTCCACGGGATATCAAAAGACCGCGTGGCCGCCCACCTACCAGATGGTCAGACTTCTTCGTCAAGATCATGAACGATCGGTTTGAGGCCCTTCATGTTCCCGGAGCGAACAGATGCCATTGGGCTACACTAGCACGCGACAGGGACAAATGGAGATGTTATTGGCGCCCACTCGAGCAAATCGACGACTAACGGGAAGTTAAGTGATTAAGTGATTAAAAGTCCAGAATTTATCAGGATTTCAAACACAAGTGTGCACTCAC